GTCCTTAGCTCAATTTAAATTAAGTAACCAATATAATTTAATAATACTTCTAAATCTTTTCCTTTTTATATAATCATATTTCTTATGACCAAATAGTTAATTTATATGCTTTACTCAATTTATTTAAAATCCACATTATAACTTCATATTTATCAAATTCTCAATAATTTGTTGTAATTTATTCAAATCTTATTTCAATCAAAATTAATTTAACCCAATAACAATAATTTCTAAATTTGAAATTTACATTAGATTTAGTAAACTGAATCTTAAATTATACCGATTAAAAATTGGATTTCGGATTCAAGTTCAGTGCGTAAATCTTAAGCTTCTGCCACCCGGGCCCTCGCTGGACAGCCGCAGGCGCCGCCATCTACGATGACAGGAAAGTCGTGGATGCCGAAAATCGAGCACTCTTCACATCTTTTGGCTCGAATTTCACTAAGGAGTTCATTTTTGGCATTGGTTGTGCAAGATTGGCCCTTTAGTCGACCAGAGCGGACTCAACAGGAGCCTAGTATTGCTATTATCATCATCGTCGAACAAAAAGAAAGGAAACTACAACTCGCCTGTGTTACAATGCTCACCTAAGTCGTGAGCAAAGACGAGATGTGACGTAGAGCAGTAACCGTAGAATGATCGACGCTAAGTGGCTATAGGGAACTGATATCGTCCGTTTGCTTGCTGCGTTCACTGGAGATGAGAACCGAGAGAGAAAGAAGCTGGCGTGACGGTGAGAGGTAGATGGCTTTCACTAGTTCAGGTGGCCGAAAATAAGAGAAGAAGAGAGAGAGAGGTTGAGTGCCGCTGGGATGAAGAAGAAGAAAGAAGAAGAAAAAGAAAAAGAAAAAGAAAAAGAAAGGAAAAGAAGGAAAAAGAAATTTCTGGGTCATTCCGGTTCGAGTTGAACTGGGTTTGGTCCAAATCAACGATTCAGTCCGATTTTTATTTGGTTTTTAGATTTTTCATTCGGATTTGAAGATTCAAACCGGTTCATAGGTTCGATTTAACAATAATATAACATTTTGTTATATAATCCCATTGGTTACAATTAAAAATTAAGTCTTTAAATGGAAAATCTATGAAATTAAATTTTCAGGTTATTTCATTTTACAAAATTATTCAACTTGTCCTCATATTTGTTAACATTAATTATTTAGTCCTAAGATTTGTTCTATCTTATTAAATAGTTATTTAAAAAAAATCAAAAGTTTTTTGCATTAAATGAGACTAAAAAGTAAGAGTGAGAAGAGAAAAATATTTTTAAACGATAAATCCTACCCTTAATGATATGAGATAAAAGAATTATTTCAATAAAAAGACAAAATCAACCTTTACAAATTTTTTTTATTATTTTTCTTTTTATATGATATTTTTGTCTCTCAATCTGCAATCCCACGCGTTCCCCCTTTCTCCTCCTCAATTCTCATCCATCAATAACATTTAACAGCGGGAAACAATAATGTTCCATTAGCTTGCATCTAGTACAACCTTTTCAGTCCATCTACCTAATCTTTGATTCAATGGCTTGTTGACAGGGCAAATTCGCAAGTGTACGAAATTGCAACAAGTAATAAAGAATGAGTAGAGTATTGTTCCCACGAGAATTACATACCAAGTACCAAAATTATGTTAACCTACAGTTATTTAAACGACAATAAGGAGAATATATTGAAAAATAAAAGAAATAAATGAGAGCAATAAGAAATCATACAAGATAATTTAATGAAAAGAAATCAAGAATTAAAGACTACTAGAGATTTTGACTTCACTTAGTTTTATCCAATTTATTTTATTAGTTTGATGATCAATTTTAATTGTTCAAATAGGGAAAACAACACTAAAATCGCTAATAAGCTCTTTCAATATATTATTAGCTATTTTAAGTTCCATTACCTATCTTCCAATAGTGCAATTAAATATGAATTAAATCATTAAATTTTATGGTTTTTTTATGAATTCATAACTTAAGGTCGTTAACTTATGAAAACCCCCCATGAGTCAGACCATATAGCTTTCGAATCAAATTCTCATGTAATTTATTATCTTTTTCATATAAAAAATCCTTCTCTTGATAGTGATTAATGAAATAAATCAATCTTGAGGAGAAACTCTGCTTGGAAGCATTAAGTTCAATAATAAATTATATCTTGAACAAGGAAAAACAAATCTAGTATTATAAATTAGAATAGAAATTAAGTTACATCAAATTTCTAGTATGAGAATTTAGTTCGACATAGTAATTAAATAAAATTTAATTAAACTTGAAAATAATTCCATAGACAATACAAATAATGAAAATTAGAAACAAGATTAAGTGTTTAGAGATAAAAACTAGTAAACAAATAGTGTGACAGCTTCCTTGATTCTTTTCACAGACTTGAATGCTCGAAGTCTTAAAAGAAAGAAATTAATAAAAGAATAGAACAATGATCTCATATTCAACATTGATGATTTTTTTCTCAAATTGTTGTAGTGATCTCTCGATATATAGACTTCGTCGGGTGTCTTCACAGACTTGAATGCTCGAAGTCTTAAAGTGACAGCTTCCCTTGATTTTCCTTTTCAACAGACTTGGAAATGCTCGAAAGTCTTAAAAAGATAAAGAAATTAATAAAAGAATAGAACAATGATCTCATATTCAACATTGATGAGATTTTTTTCTCAAATTGTTTGTAGTGATCTCTCGATATACTAGACTTCGGTCGGGTGGTCTTCAACAGAACTTGAATGCTCGAAGGTCTTAAAGAAAGAAATTAATAAAAGAATAGAACAATGATCTTTGAATGCTCGAAGTCTTAAAAGAAAGAAATTAATAAAAGAATAGAACAATGATCTCATATTCAACATTGATGATTTTTTTCTCAAATTGTTGTAGTGATCTCTCGATATATAGACTTCGTCGGGTGTCTTTGAATCCGAGTAGGAAGCTAGTTGACCTAATTAGAAAGAAATACTATTTGAATAGAAAGTTGATTTTGTGTGGTATTTCTTCTCAATTAGGAGTCCTTTTGTACTAAATAGAGCTGAAACTCAAATAAGGTAAGTCTTCTATTATTCCCATGTAGCTCTATGCACAAGACACGCACATGCTTCAATTCTAATTGGCTAAATAATTAATTTCGCCAACTTGAATTTTCAGCTTTCTTGTAAACACAGCCGTGTTGTCTGACACGGCTAGACCGTGTATTTTACTGATTTGGGCATGTTAAGCTTTTATCTTTATTTTTTCAACTCCAACCTTCTTTGATGTAAATTTTGGCTATTTTCTTGCTAAAACTCTTCAAATCAAACTTATCAAGAATCAAGGAAACTTAATTAAAAATATAAATAAATCTAAATAAAAATTAATCAAAATAATTAAAAATTCTAAAAATCTTAATAAAAATTAAACTAAAAATACTATAAAAGTAAGACCTATCACTTGTCAAATACTTTCATACAAGTTTCTTGTCAGGATTAGCAATATTTGCATCAATTCTACAACTTTCTGTGAAAATTAAAAAAAATTAGTTTTAATTGGTTTTTTAATGAGACCTACCATATTATTATAGTTCTCCCCATCATGCAAAATTACACGCTTAACTCAAATATTTGAATTCCCTCTTGTTAATGCATTAACCTCTCTTTCCAAGTATATTAGTGCTATTGTGTTGTTTCTCACCACAAGTCTTGCCATGGACATGCCTAATGAGAAATAACCATTAATGACCAAATTGAAATTTTTATATTTATTTTTCACTTCAAACAGAACCCACAAGAATTAGTAAAGCACACAATTCACAATGCCTTTGGAGCAATTCAGGTTGATCAAGAAGTCCGGATCTAATGTGAATAGGGTAGCTCCGGTAACCCAAATTGACTTCAACAGTGGTAGGCGCTCTAGAACTTGCTTTACCAACCAACTGGTACATAACCTGCACAGACCGTCGATTATCCTCGAGAACCTAGTTTGAGACGAACTCAGAACCATCGATCATATCTGGGTTGGAACTTGCTGGTGTGTGTTGTTCTTTGAAAAAAAAAAAAATGAAATGGAAGGAAAGGAGTGAGTTAGTTATGGCTATAGGTGTACGTTATATACAGATGTGGTGTTCAAAGGGTATAAGGTTTTAATGACATGAATGGTTTCCTTCGTGCACCGCCAACAACCACTGGGCAAACCTCCATTGTCGCTGCTTCTTTTCCTTTCTCATTAGCCATATAAGACGACTGCTCCAGCAATGCAAAGCATAGAAAGTTGGCCCAACCCCACAATGAAAGAAGAATTTTGCTCATTTAGCTTTAGGGTAATTTCGACTTTTTAGCTTCATTAACGGAAAAAAACCTCTAATTTAAGAATGAGGGATTGTTTAATGAAATGGAATCAAACTTTAGAGGATTCAAACAATTATTATACCAAAAAAATGAGGTGAATAATTTTGTAAAATTTAAAGGATGAAATAATTATTTTTCATTTTTTCTAAATCTTTAATATTTCCTAAATATTCAAAAGAGAGATCAGAAATTAGATAATTAAAAAAAAAAGAAAAGAAAATTGTCTTCGATATCGATATTGCTAGTAAACCGCAAGGTCCTTCTGTCTTTCTCCTCTACCTTTTTCGGTCCATTTTTTATTTACACTATGTTTGGATGGGGTGAGAGAAGAGTAATCAATGCAAGGGTAAGGAAGGGTAAGGAGGGAGAATGTAGGGAGAGCTATAATAAAATAATATTGATGTTTGAAAAAGGTTGAATTAATGAAACGATAAAGAGGTATAATGCATGTTCTTTGTGTTTAGAAAGAGGAGAAGAGAGGGATAAATAATTAAAAGTAATACAAATATATTTAGTTATCTCTCCCTTTCCCTGCTTATATCCCAAATTGAGGTGTAGCAAAATTTGAAATTTGAGAGTAAAAAATTGCAAAACGTACCTTTATTTGCCTTCGTACTTCCTTAGGTTACCTCTTTCTAAACGAGCTTAACTCACCTCTTTTTAAATGCGGATAAGTATCTTAAATACCTCTTGTTCTCCGTGTATCTCTTCTTCACCTCCAACCAATCAGAGTGTTAAGCATTCCCTCCAAAAGTCAACATTCTCCGAAGCAATTTGACATTACATAAACCCCTTTCCACCTCTCCTCCTTCCAAACCGCCATGAACCACCAAAACGAACCGGACCTTCCGCTCCCACAACTCCCATCACTCCGTACCCATCCCTCCTCGCCTCCTCGCCTCCCCATATCTATTACCACCTCGACCGCCGGTGCCCAACGCCGCGTCGCCATCGCGGTCGATCTCAGCGACGAGAGCGCTCATGCTGTTAAGTGGGCCGTTAATAACTACCTCCGTCCCGGTGATGCAGTCATCCTCCTCCATGTCCGTCCCACTTCCGTCCTCTATGGCGCTGACTGGGGGTCAATCAAGCTCCAGATCAATGATAACAACGACAGTGCCTCTCTCGACGAAAGCGATGAGCAGAAGCTAGAGGACGATTTCGACAATTTCACTACCATTAAAACTAATTCCTTGGCACAACCGTTGGTTGAGGCGGAGATTCCATTCAAAATCCGTATAGTGAAGGACCATGATATGAAAGAGAGGCTTTGTTTGGAGGTGGAGAGATTGGGTTTGAGCGCTGTGATAATGGGGAGCAGGGGTTTTGGGGCTGCACGAAGGAATTCTAAGGGAAGGCTAGGGAGCGTTAGCGATTATTGTGTGCATCATTGCATTTGCCCAGTGGTGGTTGTGAGGTATCCCGATGACGGCGGAAGCGACGGAAATAGTGGAAAAGAAGGAAGAGTCAAGAAAGGAATTGTTGGAAAGGAGGCGGAGCTTCACCCTGTACCTGAGGAGGACCAGGAATACCACGATGCTTCTGATGAGCAAAATGGTTTGTTTTTATCTTCTTTTTTTTTTTTCTTTTAAATTATGTTAAATTTAATGCGTTTGTTTGTTTTATGAACTATTGCGTGATTGTGTCTTATGTTTATGATGTTTATGTTGTTTAATCCTTAGTTAGATGGTTAATTACACTCTAGCAGGGTGGTTTCATTTTCATGGTTCAGCTCGCTGGATTTTAAAATTAATATTTTTTGTTAATTTTATGGATGGTGTTGTTGGTAGTTGTGGTTTTTCAAATTTAATTGGTTCATCTGGTTAATTATAAATTATGCATGAGTTGCCATTAATTAATGGCAATAGAATTCCTCGCCATTGAGAATGAAATTTTCTTTCTTCTTTGTTTTATGTTGTTTTTTTGGCTGCAAAATAAAGGGGGAAAGAAATAAGAATAAGGTAGAGAAAGAAGAGAAAATGTAACAAAAAAAAACTCCGTTTTGCTTGAATTGGTACTATTTGACTTGGTATAGTGGAGGATTCTGTTCTATGGTTTCAGATTATAAGTTTCCCTCCTTTGATTAACTCTGCACTACAATATTCATTATCGGTTAGCAATTCCTCATCAAATAAATAGGTTGTTTTTATGTTTATAGATTCCGAATTGATAAATGTCTCTGGATTATTGCAGAAAATATTTCTCACTGATCAGTATGGAAGTATGGGTCAATAGATAACTTCCAGTTGTTTTTGTTTATTTATTTTTGTAGCATCATATTTTTGTTTTTGACATTCAGCTTTCAGCCACAGCTCAAATTTCAAAGGCTGCAAATATGATTTTTTTTTTTTTTTTTTTTTTTTTTTTGCAATATGATTTTTTTTTTTTTTTTTTTTTTTTTGTTGACTTGAGAAAACGACTAATTGTCAATTTGGATTGCTTATAATCTTGTACTCATTTACAATCTCTTGTAGTAGTATATTTGATGCATTTTAATCATTACCAACTTTAAAACTCTGTGTCATATTACTCTAGGCCAAAGTTTAATTTTTGACAATTTTTTTTTTTTTTTTTTTTTTTTTTTTGCTGACTTGAGAAAACGACAATTGTCAATTTGGATTGCTTAAATCTGTACTCTTTACAATCTCTTGAGTAGTATATGATGCATTTTAATCATTACCAACTTAAACTCTGTGTCATTTACATCTAGGCAAAGTTTAATTTTTGACATTTGCTGTAGGTGTTGGATATGATTTGTGACTTTTCATGTGGTGGACTCAAACTTGACTTCATCTTGTCCTGAGCATAGTAATAAACATAACTAATTTGTCTTTATTGAGCTTAATTTTGCGACTTTAGTTGGTATAAATGGAATAAGGGTACCATGTAAAATTAGGGGTCAAAATACATTAAAAAATGATTAGCTAGAACTTGGTTTGGATCAAATGTCCATAAAGTCAATTAAAACAAGTGGTCTTCATCATCAAATACCAGAGATTTGGATGCTGAAGTGTCTACTAACGCTGTATCAGTTATATATGTTAAAAATGTTGAATAGGGCAATATTTTGTTATCTAGTATTATTTATATTTTTCTCGTGTTTGTTCTCCTACTATATTTATGACTAATCACAGTTGAATTTAATTAATCCTTTGCTGACTCTCTTTCTCTCTCTCTTGGTAGAAGATGCTTAATGAGTGGTCAGAGTAATGGCAAGATCCCCAAGTTCAGGTGATACTTTTAAATTATGGTGTTTTCTGCCATTTTAGAACTTGGTCTTCTGAATTTCCCCCTTGTCCAAGAGAATAAAATGGAATGGGTTTTCGTGCTTTTCTTTTCTTTCTTTTTTTCTTTTGGGTTGAGTGAGTCAAGATTTCCATATTTCTTTGGTTTTCATCATTGCTGTAGAAATGATACATGATGTGGTGAACAGAACATGAAGATTCTTTCTGCCTCTTGAGTAGTGCTGGATCATTTTAAAAAAATGAAGATGCTTCTTTCTTTATTATAGATTTGTCTTCTGAAGTTTTTTCTGGCTGACATCCAAAACCTGTTTTTTCACCTGAGGAATGTGTGATTTACTCAATAATTTCTCTACCTTCATGTGTAAGATCATGCTGAGGTTCGCAGCTTGCAGTGGACTTTCAAATATGAACGTGTCGTTGCTTTTTGCAGCTAACAGTCAAGGCAGGTTTAAGATGTGATGTGCAAGGAACTGGAAGAAGAGTTTGAAGTAGAATTTCTTGTTGCATAGTGGGATTTTGGCCTTGTACATATGGAGGATGGTTGATGTGTTGGTTTCCACATCTTTTTTTTTCCTCTAATTCCTTGTCAAATGTATTTTCCAAGTGTTCCTGCAAAATGATTAGTGGGTGTGAGAATGCTATTAGCATTTTTGTACCATTATATTATCTTGTTGGACTTGGCAATTTGGGTTGTTGTAAATTCTTTTTACATATTTGCTTTCTCTGTTTTACTCTAGACATTGTTTACACATCATTTATTTGTTTTACTTATTTTAAGTTATGTCAACTTGACTTAAATCAATTATATTCCTAAATTTTTTCTGAGGTAGGATGCTTTGCACCCATTTTATTCCTTGCTTTTTCTCACTGAGTAATACACCAAAACAATACTCAAGTCTAGGTATGGGAAGTATGCTCACTGGGTGTAGGAACAAATGCCCACTTGCTTTTGCTAGAAGTGGAAATTTGTTCTCTTGAACGCAAATCAATTCAAATTAAATAAACCGATTTTTTAAATAAAATTAAATCCCTATAATAGTACTACAAATCGGAGTCAAACCAACCCGGTTTAATTCGATTCAATTCAGTTTTTCGATTTTCCTTTACTCTTTTGAGGTTTCTTAAAAACTGAAGGAATTCAAAATTTCCTTCAATTTTTCTATAGGTTAAAACTAGACCTAATAGTTCAAAGATCAAACTGAAACAAACCAATCTAGTTTGACTGAATTTTGATGCGACCCTACTTTTTGCAATGATTCATTTTATCAGGTCTACTCTATATAATTTTGGTAACCGTTAATGTTTAGCGGTTAATATCTATTTGAGTAGTTTTTCATAAAATGTATGTGGATTAAGCATTGAAATTCATGGGTTAAACATTGAAAACTAAACGTTGGATGGGTTAAGCTTTATAAAATGCTACCTTAATTAGTGTAAAAGCTATGTTACCGAACACTATAAAAAATAGAATTTAACGTTTTAACTAACTGTTGTTGAACATAGCCACTATCATAAAGTTAATCCAATTCAGTTTTTATTATTTATATTTCTCGTGTCATATATTATTATTATTATAATAATAATAATAATAATAAGAAGAAGAAGAAGAAGAAGAAGAATTTATATATTCACCATTGAATAAGTAAAAAGCAATATTTCATAGTAAAAATTATATTTCAACTTAATCGAGATTATGATTTTTATTTAAAATAAAATATTTTCAAAACAAATATTCCAGCCAAACAATTTAGAAAAGAATCTGAACTCTCTTGAGAAATTTGGACTGAAATTCTTCCATGACTCCTGCAAACTTGTCAAATGTAGAACTTATTTGGTAGAGCAATTGAGGTTAGGAACTGGCGGACAAGGCTAACTGGTTCCGTGTTCAGCCATAAGTGTATGCCCACAAATTAAGCATGCTTCTAATACCTTGAGAACCTGAAATGAAGCACAATGATTGGTCGTTCATTGCATCTGCTTTTCCATTTCGACAATGGAAGACAAAGTATAATAAAAGTTCACCTTCAAGATTGGCATCTCTTCTCAACCTACGACTCAAAAGAAAGCAGTTTAGGAAACAATTAAGAGTTAAAACACAATTTTAAAAGTAGTTGATGTAAATGAATTCCCAAAAAAATTTACAATATAAATTTAAAAATTTATGTTTTCATATTCAGTATAATTGAAAATATTTATTTTACTCCACAAAGCAATTTTGTGAAATTCAATACAACTAAACCACACATTTATAAATGAATTCTTTAATGCCACAACTCAAGGATAATATAAGAGTTTAAGCCATTAGAGTCTCAAATATAGCCACAAATAGAAAGCCGCTTTGGTTAGAAACTTTCAAACTGTTAAACTCATCATATTCCCCAGCAAATTGCATCTCAAGTTGCACCTGGCATACAATGGAACAGTTTCATCTTTCAAATGAAAAATACAACAGCAAGATATCTTAAATGAAATATCAACATTTATTAAATCATCAACCACACATCAAACGTAAGCAAGTGTTTTTCAGGTGCCGTAAGCACACCTACAAGAAGTGACAAATGTCTGAGGTTGAGATAGAAACTACAACCAACACAACAACTGATAAACCAACAGAATTCTAAAAGGCAATGCAGATCGTATCAAAATAACGCCACAGATGATTGCTCGCAGCTTTTGTTCTGCGCAAGATGAAAATTCCAATCTCTGAACCATTTGAGTCAGACAGCAGCTTTATGACCATGACAACCGAACATATCATATGGACTCTCAAAAGGATAACATCTTATAGAGCTCCTAACATTCCCTCACTTCGACTCCTTCGAATTGAGAAATCTGATCTAAAGCTAGGAAGTTTGCCACTGACATCATTATGCCGATTGTTCGTTGTTGTTTTATTTCCAATTGGTGGCAGACGAGCATCCTTACTCTTTTGCATCTTAGGAGAGGCCACAGCTTGACCTTTACGACCATTAGTAGATGAAGATATTGGCCTAGTGTTGGCTAGTCCATGGCTAGCCTTTCGTGCAGCTTTGTTATCTGACCTCAGGCCACGTTCAAACTTTTGGCTATTGATGCCTAGCCTTACTGATCGATCAGCAGCATCTTTCAAAGTGCTAACTTTAGTTGGCTGCCGGTTGAAATATACAAGATGGGGAAGAAGGCCTTGCAGATATTTCTTGAGTTGTTCATCTCCGACATTTTTCTGTGCTGGATTTCCTTCCAAGCTGATGGCTTGCAACGAATTATAATTGGCTGCAAGTTGGCCCAGACACTTGGATGTAGAGATTTTGTTGAAGCGGAGATCCAGTACAGTTAGCTTTAGCAGACGGTGAAGACCCTCCACTTCACTTATTTTATTTCCCGCCAAGTACAACTCTTTCAGAGAGGAACAAGAAGCCAAACCTTTTAAAATAGAAAAAATTAGAAGAAAACAAAAAAGTTAAAACATCAATAATGTTCAGGGTCTCAAGAGATTTGGCATACAAAGAAGAAAAAATAACTAAAAATTAAAAAGCTAAAATTATCAAGTTATAGTACATAACATGGCATACCGTGCCCAATTCTGAATATCCGATTGTAGCTTAAGTCCAGCACACGAAGTCGGGTAAGTTCGCGCAATCCCTCAATAGTAGAAATACTATTTTTTGATAGATTCAACACATGAAGTCCTCGAGGAAGGGCACCAGCAGTTATTCTCACTGAGAATAGTACAAGAATAAAAATTAGGACGGACAAAATAGCAAGATCATTTTGCGTTTCAAACATATAAAAATGCTGATAGGGATGCAAACCTATGGAATTTCCAGATAGATTAAGTATCCTCAGGCTAACAAATGCACTAAGAAATGGGATCACTGCTAGCCCATGATTTGACAGTTGAGCTGTACTAGCAGAGGCACTTAAAGAAGATATGTATTTTTTAGCAGCTTCCATGCCAGGAGTGACCTTAGCATCCGCCTTTGTAGCAGTAGAACCATTAATAATATTGGAATCTCCATTCAGCTGGAGACCAGTATCTATTATTTCATTTGTTTCTTGTACTGGACTACAGTGTTGAAGATCATTGACCCACTCCTCAATCCGCTTAAACTTAAAATCCTTGCTTAGTGATTCATCTCTCTGACAAATGGAGGATCCTCCCTGGAGGCTTGTTGCCAGGTTTACTTCATCTGTACCTGGTATTATCCAGTCATTTGCCAAAGCTGAATAATTGTAAGAATCATTACCATTATCAAGAGAATTTTCAAAGTTGAAGATCTCAGGTTTAGAAATGTTGTCCCTTCTTTCAGGTTTGCATATTACTTGTTTTCCAACTTGACTAAATGAAACCTCTTTCCACCTCATGCATAGAACATGCAGGTCCTCTGATGATCTTGAGTGAAGCCGTCCGTAAGATCTACTGGAAGTGGGCGAGGAAGGACTAATATTGGGCAAAGAGTAGGATCTTACAATCATTTGAGGGGTGCGAGGCATATGGTTGCCAGATTCATCAATGCCATCACCAAAAAACAGGCTTTCAGAATTTTCATTCCCTTCCTTCTGTGAATGCTGTGGATCTTCAATTGAGAAGATAGATTTTTTGTTGACAAGATCAGAACCTACCCGAACAGATTCTGATCGTGGAACATTTTCCTGTTGACTGACTGTGTTTACTCCTGGATCCTCAGTGCCATCTGGTCCAAGCAACTCAATTTGATCAAGGGAATCACTAGAAAATACATTTTCATCCTCTGTATCATTTTCACAAAGAACCCTTCTGCCACGGCATAATTCACTTCCTAAAGACTGACTCTTCTTAAGAAGGCACTTTTCTTGGACTCTAGTATCATTCTCTCTCAATTTGCCATTAATTTCCTGAGATTTCCAGCCTCGTTCAATGGACACAGAGCCTGTGGCATTCTTGTTGCTGCTGCTAATCCCAGTATCAGCTTGTGCCTTCAGAGATGACGATTTTATATTTGGAGCTTTGGTTGATGCAACACGGGCTTTTAATTTACTATGCATTGCTCCAGCAGAAGGTTCGATGGTTTTCTAAATGAGAAAAAAAATTTGAATAAAAGGCCAAGGGACATAAGAACAATGATATTGACCCAAGTTTCACTGATTCAATCACTTACCTTTGGTTTATTGGAATGGATATGAGCATTGAAGCACGAAAACCTAACCATTGTGGCAATACTGATGAGCTACATCCAAACCTACTCTTTTATTACATAAAAATACTAAGAACAAACAACTATTATATTCTATGCATCAATGTCCAGAAGCCTGAACGAGAGCCTAACTTTTCTAATGTGGAATGTCAACTAACATCAAGCTTATGGGAATCTAGCAAAAAGTAACCTTAGCCATAATCAAGCGACAAACCCTCTGAAACACGGCACAATCTCCAAACATGAGATGACCTTGATCTCCTCAAGACACAAAGCAATATCACTCCCTCTTTATCACCCCACACCCACCTAGAGGTGCGAGAAGACTTAAAATTTGCTGCAGCGGCCAGAGTGAACCAAAATCTTCGCCAATTAAGGAAACCCAATTGCTAACATGCATAAAAGATGCTGGCCTGATAAGGAAGAAAGAGTTATTTTCACATTTTTGCAACAAACTTAGAGCAGAATCATGAAAAAGAATACCATATAACATGAAGAAAACAACAATAAAATGTGTGTGCGTGTATGTATATATGTACACATATGCATGATCTGTGTATCATTCGTTCACAAAACCCATCAAAGCATATACAGATATGCATGATATGGCTACCGTGCATTGAAAAAATTGACCACAAAAAGGCAATGAAGCAGCTACTCAAATTGAAATTGTATAATATCAGTCTATTGGATTGCAAAATCTACAACAGCAATCTAATCCCAACCGACCTAACATTAGAAGGTACCAATCTCATTTTCAACTTCTTCTTCCAGAAACCAACAAGAGCACATCTATTATTGATCCAAAAAAAGCAAACAGCAAATACCCAAGAAGCAGAGACTCGTTTATCTAACAATTTCACAACAGAAATTATCGAATAGCAATAAAAAATTGAAAAAGAAAAATTCAAGAATCAAAATTTAGCAAAAATGAACAACCCAAACCCAAAATAGATTGGCAAATATAAACAAAACAAAACAAAACAAAAAAATAATACCAATAACAAGAATAATGAAAGAGGGGTGTGATTGATTTAGCAATACCTTTCTGTAGCCAGATTGATAAGATTCGCGAGTTATAAGAGAAAACCTTCTTTTCTTTTCTCTTCTTATTCAACTACCGCAAATAAATTTAAAAGTAAAATACAATAAGAAAAAGTTTTGCTTCGGAGAAACGGCGTGTGGCCTGTGATGAAGCTTTAAGACTAACCCTATGTTTTATTTGTTACTATTCAAACGCTAACCCTATAAATTTTTATAGCCAAGAACCAACGGATCTGATATTCCCCTTTGCTTATATAATAGAATATATAAGTTTTTTAAAAGTATAAATACAATAAGAAAAAAGTCTTTAGCTTCTCGGAGAAGAACGCGCAGTGTGGCCTGTGATGCACAAGCATTTAAGACTATATTCCCTAATGTATTTATTTGTTACTATTTTACAATTAACGCTAAACGATTCCTATACAAATTTTTAATACCATAGTAACCAACCGGATCTGATATTCAAGCCCCTTTTGCTATCATAATAAGAATATATAATAATATATATATAATATTACCTATATATATAATATATAATATATATATTTCTATTATAATAAAGTTCCTTTCTATTATTTTTTGAAGAATGTATTAATTATATAGTACTAGATATATTCTATTATATAAGTTCTTTCTATTCTTTTTTTGAAGAATGTATTATTATATAGTACTAGTATTAGAACCCATACACAGAGCAATATTAAAGGATGAAATAATTTTTTATAACATTATTCAAAAATAACAAAATTATATAATAAATTAATCGTGATATGCATTACAAAATAGTATCTTATTAAGATATGATGAAAAAGTTGCAATACTAATATGTGACTTTTAAGTAGTTTTTCACCAAAGTATGCAAAAGTAAAAGTCATACATTATATGCCCTGCATAAAAAAATGCACATACACTATTAATGTATTTTTCCAATAGTGATAATAATTTTATATTTAACTAATTATATTTATAATAAATAGTTATTTATTTATTTGAAATATTAATATATTATACTTATTTAGTACAGTATATCATAAACGTATGGATGTCCTACTTTTAAAAAATTATCATATTTTGTACATTCTCGTATATCGTGTCCCGTGTCCGTGCAATCTATCAAATTTCATTAATTAATTTGTGGATTAAAGTAATTTAATAAAAGTTAATTAATTTGTGGATCGAAGTAATTTAATAAAAATGAGTAAAATTTTCATTTTTTTTTCATTATTTTCTTTTTAAATTAAAGAGATACAAAACATGTGGACGCAAATAAAAAATATGTAAAATGTCATTTCTTTATATATTATCCTTGTAATTTAGTTCTTGGTATATAAGACTATTCCATACATCAAGTTAATCAACTAAGGTTTTTGTTTTATTAGCAAGAAAAAATGAAGTATTTTTTTTAAAATTTGTTTTTATATCTTTTTTAATTTAACTAATTATATTAAAATAAGAAATTAAGTATTTTTATTTTATATTTATGATTTATTATAAATGATTGTTTATTTTTTAAAAGTTTGTTTTTTATATCTTTTAATTGAATTTAACTAATTTATATTAAAATAAGATAAATTAGGAGACTAATTTTTTATTGTGTAATATTGTAATGATTTAATGTCATGAAATGATTGGTTTAAGTTTAGTTTGAAAAATATTAATGGCACATATTTATAGCTTAAATTAACAGAGTAATAGTGTTCTAAGTTAATCGTAGTGAGGTGGAATGTAGACGCTCTGACTCTTTTTAGTATAAAGATCAAATCCAAAGATCGCATACATTTTTACATATCCCTGCAGTGTACGTGTCGCATTACAAACCTATCATATTAGATTTAAATTTTAACTTTGAGGATTAAAACAGTATATATTAATAAAAATAAGCAGGAATTCTTCCATGTTTGTTCATTAATTATTATATATTGACAAAAAGTATAATTAATTATAATTATAGTGGAACCGCAAATAAGTATATAAATGAAGATCAAATTCATTTCCTATACTCATTTTCTTCCATAATATGATCTAACCGTCAGCAACTTAGTTTTCCTGGTTTACTGAGACTACTCCATAGCACAAGCTAATTGATCAATGGTTCTTTTTTATTATTCTTTACCATAGTGAAAAGTTGCAAAAGGTGCTATTTTTTTTAATTTGGATTTTTGTATATTTTTAGGATTTTAACTAATTATATTGAAATATAAAAAATTAGTAATTGCTTATTTTGTATATTTTATAGTTTGATGATTTTTTAGTGCACTTAAGATCTGTATAATATGTTTAGCTATTTGAGAAATAAAAAATTAAGTATTTTTTATTTTATGTTTGTGATTTATTATAAATGATTGTTTATTTGTTTGAGATATTAATATATTATACTTATTTAGTGTAATGTCTCCTAAGTGTGTGGATGTCATACTTTTAAAAAATTATCGTATTATATATGTTTCATGTCTCGTGTCCCGTATCCGTGCAACCTTTTAAATTTCGTTAACTAATTTGTGTATTAAAGTAATTTAATAAAAATAAGTGGAATTTCCATTTTTTAACCTGAACCATGAAATGTAAACCTCAAATGAAATTCTCACCTAATAAAATTTAAAATGATGCAAATTTGTAATTATATCATTTTTATTAATGATGAATTTCATACGATTTACTATTATTTGTATTTTGTGATTATATCATTTTTATTCAAGATGAATGTCATACGATTTACTATTATTTGTACTTTTTAACCTGAGCCATGAAACCTAAATTCCATAGGTGACCTAACCATTAAAATATCAAAACATTAATATCTTAAGCGTGCATTGTCTAAACACAAATATTTTTTTTATAATTTTATTTATGATAAAGACATTATCTGAAAATATAAAACAATTAATCTTTGTACAACTGTGCTAAATAACTTTTTTTTTACTTAGACTTAATAATTTGAGAGACTTATACTTGGCTATCATTTAAGATAGACTACTCTATGTTTATATATTTTATAGATAAGTTTTTTACTATAAAAAAATACTAAAAAAAAAAAGTTATTTTACTATAAAAGAAAAGATGCTTTGTAAGGCAAATTACTGTGAAGTCCCTAAAAGTTGATCCAAATTATTACTTAATCATTATCATTTGAAACAATTATTATAAAGTCCACTAGATTAGGCCTATAGAACTATTTAGTCTTTTCATCATTTGTCCTCTTAAATGAGGGACTAAATAGTAAATTTATAGTAAATAAGAGGGTTTAAATAGTAACTAATATTAAATGTGAATGACCAAGGTACTTAACATCGAAAATAACACTTTTATATAGTATGATTTGTTATAAAATAATAAGAAAATAGGAAGAGAAGTAAAGAGAAAATAGAGAGAATAGGGAAAGAATATAAGAGTGTCCAATTATTATTTATGATAAGTCATACATATATGTATATATACATAAGTAGAGTCCTAAACAAATTAGGAAGATAGAGTTCACAATAATTAGAAATATAGACTTTTAGCCCATATAGGGTATCCACTAAATTCATAACACTCCCATGAATCTCCATTTTTCAAAGAATATATCTCGTTAAAATCTTATTAAGAAAAAACCTTGTGGGAAAAAAATCCTGTGGGGAAAAAAAAATCTTAGTGAAGGAAGAAGAGCAAATTATTATTATTTTCTCAGAAAAATCCAGTGGGAAAAAACTATAGATGAAGGAAAAAAGAGTACAGTGCGTATTTATTCCCCGTTATGAAGATATCACTTTAGATATTTAAGTTTATGTAATCCAACTTTGTGTATCAATTTTTCAAAACTTGTAGTAGAAAGCTAGCAGAAAGTGTTTTGATGAGCAAATTAACAATATTGTCGCTTGCGTGATTGAACTTCAATATTACCATTCTTTTGTGCTCACGAGCAAAGAAGAATATTTATAAAATATGCTCTTTTTGTTTTCTTTAATATATGCTTCTTTGAATATATTGAAATATTTTTTTCCATCAAATACATCCTCCTCTTTTTTCATGATTTGCTACAAATTTTTGCTTGGCTAAATGAAGAAACAATACTTTATTTCTTAAATGTTATAAAATAATTGTACCTCCACACGTAAATAAATAGTAAGATATCAAAATATATGCTTATATTAAGTCATATGACTAGTAAGATATATTAGCGTATTTTATTGCACTAAAATATGGTACTTCAGGATCAATAAATTTTTCATAAATTTCTCAATTGAAAATTTGGCATTTTATCATCAAGTGACCTCACAACTATTCACAAAAAATCATTTTAATAACTTAATCATATATATGTGGATTCATAGATAAAATTTAATTTATGAAATGCTCAATCTTTAGACCGAGATAAAACTCTATAGTCCCAACTAGATAAAAGCCCGCGGATTGCATCAAAACAAAGAAATAAATACAATTATCAAAATTAATGTTTGTGATCTTGATTATTATTATTATTATTATCATTATAAATACATAATAATTTTTATTACTAAATCAAATATTATAATTACTTTATCGATAGATAGAGCCACACTAATATTTCAGACAAAAAATCCATTCTCTCATATTTAGCGGTAATCATATATATTATTTGGGTGTGGTTTCATAGATTAGAAAATTTATATTTGAAATAGGCCTCGCAAGTCTTTAGGAGTATTTTATGGTTGTTAAAGCCGCAATTTATTGGTCACGAATAAATATACAATGATTCAAACAATTAACTTAAGGAGTTTTGTGTCTTTGTTATTATTATTATTATTTATTCTAATTATACCAATATACATATATCATTTTTATTATATATCTGGAAATATTATTATTTATACTTCAACTAATATAGATTATAGTTTTTTATATATAAGTTTTTTATGATATATAATAGTTATCAAATTAATCTCTGATTTATTTAATACTAATAATACCATTTCCCTTAACTATTTCTTCATCTTTTATCTTTTGGTGCTAGTTTCTTATACCTTATTTGATTAAGATTCACCATGGTGGTTGTGTTTTGGTTTTTCTTCGCTTGTTTTTTCAGCTTCACAAACACTCTGAATAATTAGAATTAAATGAACTTTATTAATTTTTGCTTTTTGGAGAATCCAAATAATAAGCATTCTTTGCTTTATCCCTTATATTTATATAATAATACAAATTACTGAATTATATAATAATACCATTTCCTTAATTTTCTCTTATTACATAATTTGTTGCTTCTTCTTATTGAAAAGATCAAACATTGAAAAGATGGCTTACGAATGTCATTTGAGTTATTCTGCCTTGTTTACACCTTTCAGCTCCAAACAACTTGAATAATAGATTAAATATGCTTTTATTTGCTTTATTGGAGAATCCAAATAATAAGCATTCTTTGACATTCTACCCTTACTTTGCAGTCGAGACTGGCTGTGTTTGCCACTGCACAAGTACAAAAAATATGTATATTAGGTTCTATAAAACAAAATCTCTTCATAACTTCACGCAAAACAGACCCTCAACTCTTTAGGTAAGACAATTAGTTTGCCTTAATAGAAAAATATGTATAATAAATAGACAATCAGTTTTACCTTAGTAAGACAATCTGGGACTTGCTTTATTAGATGAAATATAATCATTTTGACAAGAATATAAAACAAAGATGATAAAAATAAAGAATAATTTATTATCTTTGCAACTATGCTTGCTCCACTAACAATTGATTAAAGACTATTAGCCTTCTTTGCAACAACAAATTTGATGGAAGGAAATCTTTGAAATAACTTTATTCTATACTTCACAAAATCCCCCACTGTATTCATAAACCCAGAATACCTTCGTGTGTAGATGCATTCGTTAATATGACATTGCTTAACAATACATATGTACATTGATCTCAAAGGAAAAAAAAAAAAAAAATTTTAAGGTTCAGGTTTAGAGATGAGCAGAATACTACTCTATCCTGTTGAAATGACAAAAAATTCAAACGATAAAAAGTCACCTGATTCTCCTCCAGTAATAAGATAGTCATATTATAAGGAATTGTCATATGTTTTACAGCAATCCAAGTGTAGGCTCCCTTTTCTCAACTTGCAATGTGACCACATTATAAATTGTCTAAATCATATATATATAACTTTTATAAAAGAAATGCTATAAGCATGAACCAATAGTAATTACAAAAGTATAAATAAAAGATTCAAGGCAAAAGACATGAACATTTTATTGTCCTTATTTTAATACCAAAAAAGAAAAGGGAAAGAATTAAAAAAAAAATCAAATGATTAAGCTGTTTGAAAAGAAAAAAGATATCAATTGCTGCTTCTACCATCAAGAAATTATTAAGAACCGACATGACAAAATATTGATACAAAAATTAGCTAAAAAGATAAATGTAGGGTATGACACTTGCATCATTGTCTCTAGTTCATTGAAATATAGATTTGATAAAGTATCGAAACAACATGATTCAATAGCAAAGCATATTGATATTCACAGCTTGTACCCACAAAAAAAGGAAGAATTCTTAATTACTCATCCACTAATCTTTAGTACCAACTACCAAGCTAGTTAGTAGATGCAAGCAATCACTAATGAATGATTATAATGTTAGAATATAAGTTTATGACGGAAAATTAGAAAGAACTTACAAACTAAAGCAACAGCCAGAGTCAAGGCATTCTTCTGATCTAGTTCTGAGGCAGCTACGATAGGATCATCCAAAGCCTACTAAACAAAAGGAGAGGAGAGAGTAGCAAGTTAGAAAAGTGCAATAATGTGATGATGTTAAAGGAATAAATTCTAAAGGTTACCAACAAATCAGTCAGTTCAACTTTCACTCTAAAAAATATGGAAAAAAAAAGCAATTTTTAATGTAAAATTACAATGAGAAATATTTTTAATAACGTAATGGTAGAGCTGAATCATCTTGTGATTTATTTACAACACAAATGTAAAATAAGTATGAGAGTGAAAATTTTCAATAATAAGCAGAAATATTGAAAGGAGACGCTGACCAAATTTTAGAAACCATGGTACCAGAAAATTGTAAGTAACTCAATATAACAATCAACGCTTGCCTTCTACTTTTTCATTAAACATAAGATTTCTGATTTTATGGAGGACAAATGTTATAGAAAAGTAATTTATCAAATTGAAGGAAAGTGATGAAATGAAAAAAAGAGTAGAGTTGATATGAAACAAACCTGATGCATTAGAATTCGTTGGAGATGAGCAAAGTTGGATGGAAGGGTCAGCGAGAGGAGTGTTTTTTTAGGTTGCGTTTTCTAGGTCATATTTTTTGGTGGCTGATGAAAAAAATTTATAAATTTGTGATAAAGAGAAAAAGGAAAATGATTAAAAAAGGATTAATAGATAAGAAAATTTGTAAAAAAGGAAAAATAGGAAAGTTGAAACAGGAGAGTGCCAAGTCAGCTTTTTCAAAATTTTTTTCTTTAGGATTTATATATATATATATACACTTGCCTAGCAACATGTTAAATTTAACTAAAATTAGAAATTTAAATAAGCAAAATCATAACACTAAATTAAAAAACAATATATACATAAAAACAAACATTGGAAAAAGAACTTAGACAAACCGTTTTATGAGCTTTAATAAGAATAGAAAACTTGTAAAAAGTGATGCACGCTGCTTTCATCAGCACGATCGCGCACGCACTCAATTTCAACAGGACTTGTCTGCAAAACAGTGAAAAATCAAATCATGTCTTCTTAGGTGCTGCGAATCCATATGTGAAATCTCAAAGATAATAGTTAAGTTAGGGCAATTAAATGCTTTATTACATTTTCTTAGCTACAGGGATTTGATAGTTCTCTAAAAACAGGCAGGCTACTAAATGATAGATGGAGATTTAGCAGAACAATTGAAATTTATTGAAGGTTTTACTTAAGCTATTTGGTGGCTTTGATGCAACTGACAATTACAACATTGATATAACATCACAACGGAAGCGATATCAACATTTATGTGCCATTACTTAACTAAGTACATATCATTGTCCAATCGGGTCATATGTATTACCATGAAGCTGAATGGCACCGTCAGAACATGAATACCTGACTAATCACATGCTTATAATTTGAGGCTCCATAAGAGATAGAAGACCAGCTAAAGAAGCCAATAGGTTAAAAAATAAGGTGCAGGCCATCTAATCTCGATTAAAAAGGGGATTAAATAGACCAATATGTTCACAACATGATGCATATTGTGTAATCTGAGAACAAAGCATGAAATGTCTGACTTCATGAAAGAACCAATACTTTTTGGGCATGATATTCCTATTAATGACAGATGTATATCCTTTCTTGTATCTAAATGTAGAATGCTGATATAAACCAAGCATAAAGAAGAGAACCTTTTTTTTTTTAAAAAAAAAAAAAAAAAAAAAAAACAACATTGATATAACATCAACAACCGGAAGCGATAGTCTAACATTATTATGTGCCATTAACTTACTAAGTACATTATCATTGGTGCCAATTCGGGTGCATAGTGTTGTAATTACGCAACCATTGAATAAGCTGAATTTGGCACGCGGTCGGAGAACAATGAATACCCTGACTAATCAACATGCTTATAATTTGGAGGCTCCATTTAAAGAGAATAGAAGACCAGCTAAAGAAGCCAATAAGGTTAAAACACACTAAGGTCGCAGAGCCATCTAATCTCGATTAAAAAAGGGGGATTAATTAAGACCAAATATGTTCACACTATGAGTGCATAGTTGTGGTAAATCTGAGAAACAAAGGCAATGAATGTCTGAACTTGCAATGAAAGAACCAATACTTTTTGGCATGATATTTCCTATTAATAGAGCAGATATGTTATATCCTTTCTTGTCATCTAAATGTAGAATGCTGAATATAAACCAATAGCATAAAGAAGAGAACTTTACTTTTTTTTTGAAAAAAAAAAAAAAAAAAAAAAAAAAAAAGAAATCTTAGGTAGATTTTTATAATGCCTACTCCTCAAAGCTTTTATGAGCCAATCAAAGAATAAAGTTTGAGAAAAAAATTTGTATGAAGCAATTGCGCTAACTAAAAATTTGAGGCGCATAGTCTAAGGATGACAAAAAGAAAGCTAGACTTTTTTTTTTAAAAAAAAAAAAAAAAAAAAAAGATCTTAGGAGATTTTATAATGCCTACTCTCAAAGCTTTATGAGCAATCAAAATAAAAGTTGAGAAAAAATTTGATGAGCATTGCGCTAACTAAAAATTGAGGCATAGTCTAAGGATGACAAAAAAGAAGCATACGACTCCTTTAAACATTGGCATTCCCTTGAAATAAACTTCATAATGATCAGCCAACGTCATCCCTCTTACTCCATTTTCAAGAGGTTCAATTACTGGCCTCCATCCTATTCCTATGGTGCCGTTTGAAATGACGGTGTAGTTCTCCCCACTGTCGCCGCCGTGGACACAATCTGTTAGAAAATAGAAACCGACCGTAATCTCCTCCACATTGTTGTTTAGTTAAAAAATTAGAGACAATAAATCAAAGATCAGACATCATAATTGTTTCATCCTGCTTCAAATCTATGTCTATTCTTTGTTAAAATATAATAAAAAAATAAAAAGTTCTGAAACCAACCTAATGCACCTGAATTTGCCGGAGATTCATCAGAGATTAGCAGAGTTGGATGGAAGGGCCAACAAAAGAAAATAAGATATGAGATTATGATGGAAAGTGATGAAACGAAAAGAAGGGTAGAGCTAATCTGAACCCGACCTGATGCATTGGAATTTGCTGGAGATTCGTCGGAGATTCATTGCAGATTAGCAGAGATAGACAGAAGGGTCGATGAGAAGAGTGTTTATTAGGTTGCGATTTCTAAATTAACAATAATAATAAGCTATCATAAAAACTTAAAAAAATGAAAAAATAATAATTAAAAATTAAAGAAATAGTTAATAAATAATTAATAAATGAGAAAATTTGTAAAAAAAAAAAAGAGGAAAAAGGAAATGCAGAGATTAGAGAGTTCCAACTCAGTTTTTTCAAGCTTTTTTTTTTACTTCAAGATTATATATATATATATATGGCATCTCAAACTCTTCCTCTAAGGAAGTTATAATCTTTGGAAGCTCTTCAAGAGTTCCAATAATATTCATGAACTAAATATTGAAAAATTCATATTCAAATCTCTCTACAAAATGCATGAACATATAACATCATTATTGTAATATTCTTTCAATATCCCTAATCAAGAGATTATCTTAATCATAATACCGTATGAAGTAAATAGCTAAAGTATGCAAGAATGTAACTTGCAACAAAAGAATATTATATATATGTGTGTGTGTGTGTTTGTGTCATCTCTAACCCTTCTTTTAAGGAAGCTATAGTTTTTGGAAGCTCTTCAGGAGTTTCAATAATGTTCATGAACCAAATATTGACAAATTCATATTCAAATCTTTTTACAAAACGTATGAATATATGACATCTTATTGTAATATTCTTTCAATAAGTATTCCCTAATCAAGAGATTATTTTAATCATAATACTGTATGAAGTAAATATCAAAATTACGCAAGCATGTAACTTTCAACAAAAAAATATTATAAATATAATACAATTAAGGTGACTATATTGTATGTATTGAGATTTCTTTAATCTCTATGGAAATCTTCAATTTATATAGAAATCTTGAATATATTTCTCGGGGTCTCGATTTACTTCCTTTAAGCATTTTTTACTATTTCAAGGCTATCATTATCCACTAATCCATATATAGTTCTATATAATTTGATTGAATAAAATTCTCGAGAATTTAATTTTTATGCTTCAACCGACTTAAATCCTTAAGGGATTTCATATAAATATCTACATCAAGTAAACAAGTGAACCATGTAAATAGGCAATCACTAATCAATTAGATGCATTTCAAGTATGCATAAATTGCCAGACTAATCAAATATCAAATCATAATTGAATCCACCACATGAAGGTATTTTATCCTCATAATCAATGTCATTTTCTTGCGAAAAACTTGTGCGACAAGTTGTGCTTTATATCTTATGACGCCAATTTAATTTCGCACAAATACATATTTGTATTCTACAGGCTTGACATCTCTTAATGTCCACTAAAATTTCAAAAACTTTACTTTTCAAGTAAATGACACATACGTTGTACTATTTTGGCTAATCTATTCAATATCTATATTCTCCAATAGAATATGCTCAAGATACTCATCATTTTTCATAATTTCAAGTGCTATATTATACACAAAATTTTTGTCGACTTTTATTTTATATTGGTTCAACCTTTGTCTAGACATGACATAATTTATTAAGATCTCATTATTTTTTAATGATTTCAGGTACCTGAGTTTCTTCTAGAAACTTATTATTCATGCCAGGAACTTTTTCCACAATTTGCTCTTCTAGAGCTTGAGCATCTTGCAGGAACTTCTTCCACAATTTGCTCTTCTAGAGCTTGAGCATCTTGAATATTTGCTCCTTCTCTTTTTCTAGGATTTTTATCTTTGGAACCGATTGGTCTACCACGCTTCAGGCACGCCTTAGACTTATTAGCATAGGCAGTTTGTCCTTCATGGAATTCTATTTTAATAGGAGCATTTGCAGCTAATATGTGAGATTTAATTATCTCATGTTTGATCAACATATATTTGACAACTAATTTACAATATTTTGCAAATGAATTAACTTTTAAACTTTTAAATGTACACTGCCTTACATAAGAATCAAGATATAATAATGATAATTCTTTTCAAACTAATTTATTATTCTAGCGGCTTATTTTCTCCCCCTAATGTCGGGATCCATAATAATTAGAAAATTTGGCATATATAGCTTTCTTCTTTGAAAGTTCTAAATATTTAATCATATATCACATACGACATTTATTCTCAACCTCTTTTGAGAACCTGTCTTAGTGCATTATGGTGGAGTAATTAGAACATATAGTGCACATTTAAAAATTCTTCGATGAGTAATATTTGGTTAATGATCCAAAACCAATTATAAAGGGGAGAACATATAATAACTTATTGGCTTGATGCGAGTAAATGCTACTACATAAAATAGCATGTCCCTCGACAAAAATAGGGAGCTTTGTTCTCATAACAATTTCCTTGCAAGTAATTGCAGTCATTTAATAAATGATTATACTAAATCATTTTGAGCATAAATAAAAATAATGTTGGCTCAAGGGCCAGTTCTATATTGAGATTTTGATGATTAGCTAATATTGTTTTATGAAGATTTATTTATTTTCAAATATGAAAATTAATAAAGAAAGCAAGTTCCTACAAATCCAAGATTAATTGAAAACTATGAAGAATAGTGAAGTTTTTTTTTAGTATCTTAGGATTTATTGTAGGATAGAGAGAATATTCCTTTATAAGCACAAAAGTATTTCTTCTCTCTCTCAAAAATGATTTTGCTAATAAAAATAATGTTGGCATTCAAGGGCCCAGTTCCTATATTTGAGATTATTGATGAATTAGCGTAAGGGTATTGTTTTATGAAGATTTATTTATTTTCAAAATATGAAAATGTAATAAGAAAGCAGAGTTCCTACAAATCCAAGATTAAATTGAAAAACTATGAAAAGAATAAGTGAAGTTTTTTTTTAAGTATCAATGTAGGATTTAATTGTAGGAAAATCCAGAGAGAATATTCCTTTATAAAAGCGACATAAAGAGAGAATATTCCTTTATAAGCACAAAAGTATTTCTTCTCTCTCTCAAAAATGATTTTCGAAATATTACCTTAAATAATAAAAGTCAAAATCTCGATTTTATTTCTCTTACCTAAAAGAAAAAGATTTTGTCTTAAATATTTTTGGTAACAAAATATTTGAAAAAGATTCCTATATCTTTTTATTTTCAAAATTGTTTTAGGAGAAAAGTCCAAAATCTTGTTTTTATTCGCTTACTTTAAAAGAAAAGATTTTGACCCTAAACATTTTTGGCAACAAGATCTCCATATCTTTTAGTTTTGGAAAATCAAAAGTCTTCTTTAAAGGCTAAATATTACACTTTCTAAAACGGGATCTGCATCCTTTATAAAAGGCATCTTCTCATTAAGACGTGGGTAATTCATTTCATAAGAGTAAGAGTTAATTGCTTCAATGTTTTACCTCTCAAAGCTCTTTCTCAACCCCCTTATTTCTTTTCGTCTTTTTGCTTTAGGAAACATTTTTAAGAGAAAAGAAAATTTTATAACAATTTCTATTGAAAAACAGTTCTGTTCTTTAAATCGATTTTCTAACCATGATTTCTGTTTTTCCTGTGCTTATATTTGCATTTCTTTCTGTCTATATAGATTTTGTAATCTGTTGTAGATAGGTTTTTATTTGAAAACTTTTGTGTAATAGCTTAGGTGAAAATTGTGTAATAGCTTAGGTGAAAAACTTTTGTGTTAGCTTAGGTGTAAAAAGCTATTGGTGGAATAGTTATCAGCAACCTCTCCTTGTGGTGAAGGTGAGATTCTAATGTCTTGATTTGAGTTTCTGTTCTCTACAAAAACCAAAAGGGTTGAGATTAACTAGAACTTTTGGAAAATCTAGTGGCGCAAAGGGTAGATCTAGGTGTTGATCTATTGCCTTGTACTGTTAGTTTGTCTCTTACCCTTGAAAAGAGATAACATAGTGGAGGATCTCAAGATTAGTCTTGGGGAGTGGAAGTAGGCGAGTTAGTGCCAAACTACTATAAATCACTGTGTTTATCTTTTCATTTTTTTGAAGTTTTGCTTGATTCCATTTTACTTACACTTCTGTTAATCTTTTAGAAATGCAAAGTTGTTAATGGTTTTATAGATCTAAATTTGGATAAGCTTTATCTTTATTGAACATTAGAACTCTGCTTTTATCTTTATTGAAACATTAAGAACTCTGCGATTTCTACATTTGTGAATTATAGCCAGTTCCCAATCTATTCTTCTAATCTATTCTTCTATATTCAGTATATATCACAATTTGGATTTTAATTAGTTTTCTAAGTTTGCTTAAAGCTTTGTGAAGCAGTTCTAAAATTCAATAAATGTCTTTCATAGAATCTTTAATAATTATCTAAGCTTTATGAAGTAGTTCTAAATGTAATAACTTTCCTTCATAAAGTATTTTTGAAATTGATTAAGATTTGTGAAGCAGGTCTCATCAATAGCTGCTCTTTACAAAGTCTTTCTAGTTTTGCATTAAGCTTTGTGAGGAAGTTCTAATCTTGATAACTTACTCTCACAAACGCTTTCTATTTCCGCTGCAGCAGAATTCTGATTTTATTTTTGAAAGTTATACTTTTTTTAAAAAAAAAACCCAATTCACCCCCCCTCTTGGATTGTGCCATACATATACGGGACCCACAATCTGGTATCAAAGCTTTGGCTCTTGACTTACCAAAGCTTAACCTCAAAGCTTTGGCTCTTGACTTACCAAAGCTTAACCGCTTGAGAGAAAGATCGTATAGCAGTCCCACTTCCTCTTACATCTTTAGAAGTTCAATCTGTTTCTAGACCACCTTTGTTCAATGGTTCTAATTACTCTTACTAGAAAACCAGGATGGAAAATTTCATAAAATCAGTTGATATAAAATGCTGGAGGAACGTCATTACTGGTCCTCGCATTTCTATGAAACCTATGGAAAATGAGAGAGTTAGAAAAATAGAAGAAGAATACACTGATGTTGATTGGAATAATATTTCTATAAACGCAAAAGCCATAAATATTCTTCATTGTGCATTAGATCCAATAGAATACAACAAAGTGTCTGGATGTAAATCAGCAACAGAAGTTTGGGAAAAACTTAGAGTTACCTATGAGGTTACTGATCGAGTGAAGGAATCTAGAATTAATATTCTCTGGACAGGATATGAAATGTTTAGTATGAAAGAAGGAGAGACTATAGCTGAATTAAATTCTAGAT